ATCGCTCCGTGAGCACGGCCAGGGCTGCGCGGTGATGTCGGGGTGTCCCCGGGGTTCGCTCGGCTCGGCTCGGCTCGGCCTGGCCCTCTGCCCGCTGAGCAAAGCCCCGCTCCGCTCCGGGCACGTGGGGTCACGGTGTCCCCGGCCACCATCCCCGGCTCCGAGCGAGCAGGGAGGTGGCTCCCAAGCCCTCGCTGCCGGTGGTCCTTACCTTCGGCTGGGGGTGGGTCCGTCCCCTGGCAGGCGCTGATGAACCCCGCGAGTGCCAGGGCCCACAGACCCCTCATGGTGGCCGTGGCAGAGGCTCGGGGCCCACGGGGCTGCCTGCAACGGAGAGAGCCCGGGATGGGCACCTGGTGGCCACCGGCACGTGGCGAGCACCGGCCCATGGGGTTGCCCACACCAGCGTGGAGCGGCGCTGTGTCACCGGCGCTGACCCTCCCRGCCATGGCTCGGTGACATTTAGGGGGTCAGTGTCACCCCATCCCTCTGCTCCGCATCCTCCCCAAGCCTCAGCATCCCTGGGTGTCAAACCCAGCGCCCGGATCCGCTCCAAACACCCGGAGAGGCCACGGCTGAGATTCCCCGGAGTGGAACCGGGCACGTCCTGCGWGGAGCCACCCACCAAGGTCTCGCTGCCTCCCGTTTTATCTCCGGGTCCCGCKCGGATCCCGGGGTGTCCCCGCGGGTCACCCCGACCTGGCCTCCGTCCTGCTTCCTGCCACGAGGCAAGCTCGGGCTGCGGGCGGGGAGCCGGCGCCGGGACGGACCGGACACGCTCGGGGACCGCTGCCAGAGCGGGACGCGCATCCCGGTCCCTTCATCCCGGGACCCCGGGCAGMGGCGCCACCTCTGCGACCCTCCCCCTGCACCCCAAAACTGCGGCACAGCCCCCCCGTTCCGAACCGCAGCCCCGCCACCCCGCTGTCCCCTCTGCTGCCACCGGGGCTGGCAGTGCCCGCGCCCATCCCCGCTCCCACTGCGCCCACCCTGCAGCCCCCACGCCCCCCGCTCCGCTCCCCGCTTTCCCTGCGTCGCACCCTCCGCACCGGCGGGTCCGCGCGGCCCCGGGGCGGTGATTAACGCCGGTGATTAACGGGGAATCCCCCGCTCGTCCCGTCCCGTCCCGTTCCGTTCCGTCCCGCAGCAGGGCCGGGCTCCGCCGGGCTCCTCCCGCTCCCGGTGCGGGACCGCCCGGGGCTCACCTGCGCGGGGCTCGGCGGGGCACGGGGCTGCCGGGGGGTGCGGGACACCGGCAACTCCGCCGCGGGACACCGGGACCCTCCGCGCCGCCCCCGCCGCCTTCCCCGCCTCCCTCCGAGGGGGGAGCCCGAGCCGCCCCCCAAGCGCTGCCCGCCCTCCGCCACCCCCCAAACCGGGGGGGGGCCCGGGCCGCCGCCCGCCTTCGCATCCCCGCCCTCCTTCTCCTTCTCCTCCTCCTCCTCCTCCTCCACCCCCGGGCGCCTCCCCCGGCGGCTCCTTCGCTCCCTCCCCACCCCCTTCCCCTTCTCCGGGCGCTGGACCCCCGCCCAGGAGAGGGGAACCCCAATCCCGGGGGTGGCGTGGTGCCCATTCCCTGCTGCCATCSCTGCGGAGCGGCTCTTCCTCCCCGCGGGTGGCACCGGTGGTGGCATCACTGGCCAAGAATGTCTGTCCCTCACGGATGCTCCCCCTCTGGCACGACCCCGAGGCACCGCTGTGTGACACGGACACGGAGCTGGTGTCCCCTGCCCGCACCCTGGGGTGGCTCGGGGACAATCTGGCTCAGCCCGGGACCGGAATCACCGCCACCATCCCCGCCACCATCCCCACGTCCCCAGCGGCAGCAGCAGCAKCAGAGCCGCTGATTTCCCGGAGCTTTGCCAAGCCCTGGAGCGATCCGGCGCCCATCGCGGCTCTCAGCGCCCCCGCGCAGCCTCCAGCCCCGCGCCGCTGCGCCGTGCCAGCCTGGAGCGCTGCCCCGGGGCCTGGCTGCCCGGCTCTGCTCCATCCTCCCCTCCCCAGGCCTGCCAGGCCGCCCCCATCCCCAAAAACAGGCAGGGAACGAGCTGACCCCGTGCAAATTTGGGTCTGGGGAAGGCAAACCACCCCCTGGCATCCCCGTGCCAGGTCTGGGATGGCACAGGAGCTCAGCTCAGCCGCTTTTCCTCTCAAATTGTGATGGATCCTTCGGGGCTGCAGCTTCGCAGACGCGTGAGGGACGCAGGGATCTCCATAAAGTCGCTAATTAACAGCCGCTGGTTAATCAGAGGCAGTAAATAAACTGTCGCGGGCAAAGCCAGCTCGGTCCCCGCGACAACGTGGTGACAACGCTCCCGCGAGGTGCCCGCTGAGGTAATTAAGGGTAATTAAAGCGAGCGGGAAGGAAAACACAGAGGAACTTTTCTCCTTCCTGGGTTTGGGATGATTGTTCACCCCGAGCTGTTCTGGGTTTGGGACCACCCAGCAGCGCTGAACCCGGGGCGGGGGCACTGCTGGGGGTTCGTGTGTCCCGTGGGTGGGGGAGCACGACCCCAAAAGTGGCCCCATATCCCATCCCAACCCCACAGCAGAGGCTGCCCCTCWTCCCATCCTTCCCAGCTCGCAGGATCCTCGATTAACCCGCAAAACGCTTTTGAGGGATCACAATTAATCCTCGTGCCTCAGTTTCCCTCATTCCCCAGGGATGCTGTCCTGGCTTGGTTGTCCCCAACCCGGCGACACCGCCAGCCTCAGGGGTGGCAGCAGCGCGGGGAAAAAAACAAAAACCAAAATCTCAGCCCCTCGCAGCTCCCGCTTCCCTTTGCTGTTCCAGCGCACGGGATCGGCGTTTCCAGAGTGGAAAAAAAAATAAAAAAAATTAAAAAAAAAATCTGGATCCCGCCTCGCCAGAATTTTCCCTTGGAGCGGCGCCGAGCGGGGGGATGGAAAGCAGGATCCCGCAGCCCCTGCCCASCATCCCAGCATGGAAAAAGCAGAGACGCGCTGCTCTTCCAAGAAACTGCCGCGCCGCCTGCCAAGAAACACGAGCCGGAGCAGAGCCCCWCAATTTTCGGGCTGGAGATGATTTCACCTCCCGGCCCGAAGCGTCATTGTGTTACCCTGGGGCTCCCCGCACTGAGCTCAGCCCCCCGAGCCCCCCAAAGGCCCCCCAAATCCCGGGAATGAGGTTTGGGATGACGCCGGCCCGCACCGCGTTGGCTCAGGGGCAGCTGGACGAGGCGCAGGAGGGAATTCCTGCGGCGGAGGATTTCAGTGGTTCAGCATTAATTTCTGCACCAATCCGGGCAAAATTCCTCCCCTAATTCCAGTCGGGAAGGAAAGAGCCTGCAGGAATTCTTTCCAGCCTCGCTGGGCCGTTGGGATCCGCGGTGCTAGARCAGCAGTTTTGCCTTTTTTTGGAGGAATTTCTTTCCCGGAGAGCGAAGCTCCGGGGGAGTTCCCGTCCCCCCGCGGCCGCGCAGCCTCGGAATGGTTTTTCCATCATTTCCGCTCCCCAAACCGCACATTTTTGGCTCTGAATGGGGGGCTCGGATGGAAAACGGCCCATCCCAGAGCTGTGGGATCTGCTCGGAGCCACCCCGTCCCCTCATGCCGGGGCACACCACGAGCCTGTCCCTCCCGCCCGGGCTCCGTTCCCTCGCCCCATCTGGCGTCTCCGTGAGTAATAAAAGCTGCTAATTGCCAACAGATGCCCCAGGAARCCCTGGCGCCGCCTCTCGCGGCTGYGTTCGGCTGGGAAGGAGGGGAGGGGGAGCTGGAGAAGGCCCCGGATCCCCCAAAGTAGGGGGCGGGGGGATCCCAGTGCGTGGCGGCTCCCAGAAATCTTCAYCAGCAGATTTAGGGACACCGCAGGGAGGGGATGGTGGCCCTGCCGCACATCCTCCATGGTAGCCACGGTAGCCCAGGGCTGTGCCAGGGCCTGTCACCCACATTCCTGTCTGAAGCCCCCACGCTCCTGCCAGCCCCTTCCCCGGAGCTGGTTCCCCTTTAGGAGGTGGCGGTGGAATAATTTGGCCACTTCCATCCCCTTCTCTTCGCTCTCATCCCCACTCTGGAATCCCTAGCCGGCTTTTTTCCATGCCCCTAACCCGGACTGG